AAACAACTTCTAATTCAAAAGAGGAAGGGGAAAGTATTGGTGGAAAATTGTAAAAGGTTTATTTTTTTTTATTAAAAAAATTGAGAGCCAAGACATCTTCTGTTTCTATCAAGTCCATTAACTTGAACTTTTTTCCCCAAACCTGAAAGTGTGGATGAAATCTTACACTTAGCTCCATGCAGGCAACTGACAATAAAATGATGCAGTTATACTTGACCACTTGGAGAACAGATCTATGACCAAAAACACTGTTAACAGTGGACATTTTCACCTTGGGTATGAGGCCCAGTAACATCATAGTATATTGTAAGTAATGTAAGCTTCTATATGAAGGACTAAATATAAATATAGGAGTAAATGCAAGGATAATGATACCTCTATTGACCAATACCAGGTTCCCAAGCAACAGTTAGTGATTTCAGGTTTAGATCACTGAAAAGTGACTGCAACTAATCTTGATTACTTTGACAAAACAATGTCAAAAATTTGAGAGGCAACCTAATAGTGAGAAGATACCTTTCTTAGGCTTCTAAAAGGTAACGCCCAGACATACTGATTCACTCCTAGATTTGTCTTTATACTGGAAGTGCTACAGAGTGAATGGTTGTTTCTGCCTAACACTGGGCGACTTCACTGTAAACAGAAGGCCGTGTGGCCATTTTGGTGCAATCTTTCCCCACTCGGTTGGTAGCGCCCTGCTGGCTGGTGTGTAACATAGTGTGTTCATTCCATTATTATTTAAAGTGAAATGCTGAATTATTAATGTAAATTCAACTGCCCCTTTTTCTGTAAAGTAAGCAGATTTACTTTTCTTATTTGGTCGACCCTAGGGAGTAACTTTTAACTTTCCTTATGTAGTTAAGTGATTTTCATTTCAGGTATATGTGAACATTTTTAAAAAAGAATTCCTGCAGATACAGAATTGATATTTGGAATTTTTCTTTTTAGTTTTATGTGCCAACTTACTTAAATTATTAAGATAGAACTAGCTTTTGATCTCAGACTATCGTTTTATAATCGTTTTATCCGTAACAGAAGGTTGGCTCTACTGTATCTTCACAATAATTTTGTTATGCTCCAAATTCAAGATTCATACTTTTAGGACTCTGAAGTGCTCATCTTCTCAATTAATTATTTGTAAGCCTCTAGGCTTATTCGTAGAGTGAATTTTAGAATGCCCCAGTAAGAATGTAACAGCACACAGGAAACACACAGTGTATTTTCTAACACTGCTGTTAACCAACCACCCAAGTTTCAGGGTGACTGCAATGCTTTCCAGCGCTATCCATGGTGATCTCTGGCAGTATTCCCACCTAGGGTGTACTAGCAAACTAGTGACTTAGTGTTTTAGACCAATGAATGTATGACTTTTTTTAAGTGTCTATCATACAATAAACTATTTTTAAACACATTTTTGGGGGGTAGTTCGTTTATTTCAATGACTCCTAAATCTTGGGAAAGGTTACGAATAAAGTTTTGTGTCAGCTTCATTTTTAATAGTTTCCTGGTGCCTTTCTTCTATGGTAATCTAATTTATATTATCTTTTAAATCTATCATATAAATATATTACTATGCTTAATTATTCTAAGTAGTAGCATGACTATTATTTTTATATTTATAATTATTCATTCATTTCAAGTCACTCAGCATGCTGTTAATGGGCCATGCAGTTAGATATCCTAATTTGTTCTCATGACTCATAAAGTTCAATATAAAGTATTCTGAAGTTTATAAAAAAATTTTTTTGTGCATTACATGCTTGTCCGCAGACATAAAGCTCAAAGATTTTCTTTCTTTCATAATATACTATAATATGGTTACAAGTGCATTGAAATTCATCTTGTTAGAATGGTAGTAATATATCCCACCAGGACTACTGTTCCTAGTAGCAATTTAAAATAATTATTGTGAGACTTGATGCTAGACATCAGGTTTGCAATAGAATTACAATGAGGGAAGTGTATTAGAGACAAAACATTGCTGGAAGAAAACTTCATAATGGCGCAATTTGGAACTAAGCCTCAATTTTACAGTAATAGATTCTCTTTATGATGGCACAAAGGAGTGAATGCACTTAGCAAATTTAAATCTATTATTAGTCACACTTTGTGGATTGCAGTGCAAAAAGGAGAAAAGAAATTAGCTTTTTAAGTATGTTCTTATATAAAACAGGTTCTAGTGAGAACAGTCTTATATCAAATCTCCTTGTTACACTTCAGAAGCACAGTCAGTCTTTATAACAGCAGGGAGTTGTCCAGGTTTAAAAGTCTTTCCAAAATCGTTCTGAAGGTCTCTGATTTCAAATTATACATTTCTGAAGTCAGGGTACATTCAACATCAGTACATTTCTTATTTACAGAAATACAGTGTAAAACAAGAAAGACAGTTAATTTAGTCTTTGCTGCTTCCCACAACCTCTCTCCTTGAATGAAGATGTGTTTGTAGTTCACATTGGTACTATACCTGCCTTTAATGCGATTTCAATTACAGTAAGAGAACTCAGTGGTGTTAAGTCGGTATGATTTGGCACTCATCTACGTAAAGAGAGTCTCAGTAGGCAATTTTGCAAAGGAAACCAACGGGAAGAATTCAGTAGGTATTTTTAGTATAAAATCAAAACACTAAAAATCCAAGCTTCCATTTTCAAGTTAAGTAAAATGTTACAGTTTTGTTTTAATTATGATCCACTTTTCCTATTTCATCTTAAAATAATACTAAGTAGAATATCTGACAATAGCACAATTTAGTTTTAAAGTAACACATAACATTTCCATCATGTTACTGACTGGGTACATAGGAATTCCGCTGTAATCCTTAAGTAGTATGAAATAAAATTCTTATCTGAGATGTTTCACGTAAGTATTTATCTGTGGAAAAGAGTGGAATCATCCAGCTGAACTGGGGAGACCAGCCATACAAATTCACATTCATAGACTTATGGGAGAGGAAAGCGAGGACAAAAAAAGAATGGCCACACTTAAAACAAAGTTGTACACAGCTGAAACAGAGCAGATAGAAATAAAAGTAAATAGTTCAAAGAGATTACTTTAAAAAGGCATTTTCTTATAGATTATCCACATCTACTGCCCATATTAATACTTAATATTGCTTTTCTGTAAATTTGTTTTGCTCTGTAGCTGTCTATAGCTGCCTTTGCTTAATAATTCGAGTGCACTTTTATCCTGGTGGGCTCCAGTTAGTAGTCTGTACATAGACTCACATCTGCCAACATTCGACTAATCTCTAAAATATATTCTCTCGTTGCTTCACTTCAAAGACATCACCCTCCGTCGGTATTCCTCCTACTGTTTAGTCTTCAGTATGTGGTGTCTACCTCAGCGTCGTGTCGTCTTTCCTACTGCATATTGGGCAGCCTCATCCATTCCCATGGCTTCAGTGAGCATTTACATGCTGATGACTCAAATCTAACCCCTTCCTGAGCTCCAGACCCATATTATATCCTCCTACGTACTGAGTATCCATCTACCCTCAGACATTCCATAGGCCTCTCAGACACAGGATGCCCCAAACTGAATTAGGAATCTACGCTCTCCCTGAACCCAAATATATTCTTTTCCAGGTGTTACTCATCTCAGTGAAGCACCTACTCAGTTGCCCAAGCCAGAACCTGTGTATCATCCTGGAAACGTCTCTATTCCCGCTCCCATGTCCAACCAATCTCCAAGTTCAGGTACTTTTACCTCCTACTTAACAAACTTGTTTATTTCCCTCTCTTCCCATTGCCACTGGCCTAAGTCAGGCCACCATCATTTCTCTGTGGAATTATTCTACCAGTCTCCCAACTGGTTTTATCTCACCCTGACCCAATCCATTCTCCATGTTACAGAAGGACAATCCTATCAAAACTGATAAAATAACTGATAAATATGATTACATAATTTTAAAAAATCTCCTCAGGAAAATATATTCAAATAAAATTAAAGATAAATCATAAACTTGGAAAAATATTTGCAATATATATAGCAAAGAGTTGATGTTGCTCATCAGTAAAAACCTCATAAATCAGTATGTAAAAGAAATATGAGCAAGGACATAAACAGTCATTTTTGCATAATAATAAATGGGATTTAAGAATCTGAAAAGATACTTAATCTTACTCATTGTAAAGGGAATGCAAATGAAAATTTGGTATCATTTTATACCTGTAAGATTAAGAAAAATTTTAAAGTTTGAGCATGTGGGAAAAATAAGCCCTATCATATACTGTCAATGGGTATGTAAATTAGATAAATAAACAAGGGTACTTATTGTACCAATTTTTACAATAAGTAAAATGAAAGATAATATAAATATTCATCAATTGAATTTTGGTTAAATAATTTATGGAAACCCACATGGTGGAATATTAGACTGCTGTGAAAAAGAACAAGGTGGATCTTAAGGAGGTCATATGGATAAATCTCCATGTTATATTTTCAAGAAGAAAAAGTAAGATGTAGAATAGTTTGTACAGTGTGCTCTTATTCATGTAGAAAAGGATAGATATACATATGTGTGTATATACATAGGTAGAAATTCTCTGAAAAACTGCAGAAGAAATGTTAACAATGATTGTCTTTGGGGAGCTCTTTTATGCTGTGACATGTGCTACTTTTCCAATAATTAAAAACAGCTAGTTATAAACATTGCAAACACTAATGCCATTCTCACCTTCCAAAAGTATCATGGCTTCTAATTACTGTTAGGAGAACATTCAAGTTCTTTAACAAAGCTTATGAGACATTTCAGACTGGGCCTCGGCCTCCTAGTGACCCTTTCTCTCACCACTTCCCTCTTCAAACCCTACCTCTAGTCACAAGGAACATCTTCAGTTCTTCAAATGCACTTGGAACAATTTCTTTTACACTGCTCACATCTTCTTGTCTAATTACTTATGCTGTGGAACTCAATTTGAAAGTCTCTTTGCCCAGGAAGGATTTTCTGATCATCCTATTCTTTTTTTTTTTTAAACAAATTTTATTTATTTATTTTCCCTCAGTGGAGGAACTGGGAATTGAACCCAGCACTTCACGCATACCAAGCACACACTCTACCACTGAGCTATACCTCCCACCTTCATATTCTTTTTTATAGCACTTATCACACTTACTGTTTAACAGTATGTCTTTCCTACCACTAATCACATGCTCCAGGAGGAGAGGGACCATGCCTCCCTTGCTCATAATTATAACTGCAGTGCTTAACTTAATGCTTTGTGTTTGAATAACTGGATATAGATGAACAGAAAGAATTAAGAGAGATATGATTGACTGATTGATTGTAAAGTAGCTACAACTTGCTCATTCTTTAGTAGTGATTTTGGAAGTAAACGAGAAGGTAAAGAATAAGCTGAAAGTGGGTAGTTTGAGTTGCAAAAACACAAAACTGCTCAGAATAATTACAAGTATATAAATAGCAGTGAAGGAACATTTAAAACCTGATCAAGGTATTTTGGAAAAAAAGGCACTGAATTTGGGAATAAACAGAGTGGAAAGGGATGAATAAGGGTAGATTTCTTGATGAATGTGGGGTTTTAACTTGATCTTTAATAAAGTAAGATTGCTGGAAATAAAGATGAAGTGAGGGCAAGAATTTAAGCAATAGAACAGGGAGGCTGTGGAGATGCAGTTCCCCTAAAAAAGTTGCTTTGTTTCTGTTCAAAGAGAGACTTCGCCTGCTGTATTCCCTGCAGCCTTATGACAACTCCCTCTCAGACCTGGTCTAGAATTTCTGTGCCCTGCGGACGTGGGCTCTGTGAGGCAGACAGCTTCCCAGGGCCCCTCTGCCCCCTCGGGGTGGAAACACTGGTGCTGAGCTATACACGGTGCCCAAACCTGTCCAACCATCAGGATAATTTTGTTGAGTTCTAGTCCACTAGGTGCTTCAGAAATCTTGAAAGAAACACAAAAAGCATGGCCATTTAATACACGTGTGTTTAGTGAATGAACAGATGACCTTCTGTGGCTTTTTCTACATCAAAGTTAACCTTCCAGATGGGCAATCAAAGAAGTCTTTCAAATTGTCCGTTCCTTCCCCAATATCATTTCTTCCTGATTTGTCAAGCCTTAGAAACAGGGCTCTGTGCCTTATGTAAATCGAAAATACCCTTTATTTGCATTTATATCAATTTCTGAACTTTTGCTTATACTAGTTTCTCTAATTAGAAAGGATTCTGCTTCTTCAACTGGTATGTCATTCGTAAGCACATGTCTCCAACTTAGAAACTCTCTAGAACTCTCTGCATTTCATGCTGGTTGTGTACTTGTTTTCTGTTCCCTTAGATCTGCACCATTTGTATGACGTGATTCTTTACACAGACACACACACTCACAAACACATGTGTATTTTATTCTATAGGTTGAGCCATATGAAATTGCCAATATGAAAAAATTCTGATCTATAAAAATGACAATTTCACATGGTTCAACATAACTATAAACTCTTTGAAGGCAGGTTACCAAGTCAAAGTTTTGGGAGGTTTGGGGGGTACAATTCTATGCAGACAGTAGGTCAGAGGTTCTCAAAGTGAAGTCTGTGGACCCCTTTGGGTCCCTGAGATCCTTTTAGGGGTCCATGAAACCAACCAATTTTCATAATGATACTAAAATATTATTTGCACCACCTCCCCCCCCCTTTTTTTTTTCACTGTGTTGACATTTGTATTGGTGCAATGTGGCTACCTTTGCACTAATCAACGCTATGGCACCAAACTCTTCTAGAGCTCAATGTATTCTTCATGACCACACATCTGTATTTTTGAAAGCCATGCTGATTTAGGGATGCCCTTAATGAGGCAGTAAAAAATAACCCATTTTATTGACTCTGGACCCTTGAGTATACATCTTTTTACATCTGGTGTGGATGAAATGGTAAGGACACATAAAGTACTTGTACTACATACCAGAGCACAGTGGTTGCCTGGAGGAAAAGCACTTGTGTGATTAAGTTCTAGGCTGAACTAGCCACTTTTGTCCTGGAATATCATTTTTACTTCAAAGAACAGTTGACAGGTATCCGGTAGATATTTTCTCAAAAATGAACAATGAGAGACACTCAAAGAATGCAATTGACAGTATTTGTTGCCAATGATATACTTCAAACATTCGAGCAAAATCAGAATTCTGGAAAACTTGTATCTGCCACCATCAACTTCACAGTTCCCTAATATTTAAAGATTTTCTGATGAGATCAGAGATGATATTAATCATAATTTTATGATATTGTATAATGAAATGTATCAACATTTGAAGATCTGCATAACTCAGGGAGCCAATATTTTTCAAATGAACAAGACCTGAAGTTACTAGAAGTTACATAGCGCAAGATAGATGGTTTCAGATTCCACATGGCAACTAACTTATAAGAAGCCACACTTGTTGAGTTTTGGTGTCGTATTAAAAAAATATCCACACTTATCTGAAGTCATAGTAAAAAGATTCCTACAATCTGTAGGGGACCAGATTTTTCCCCTATACTTCATCCAAAGCAACATACCAAAACAGATTCACTCAGAAGGAGATATGATAATCCAGCTGTTAATACGTAATTGGTTTAGTGTTATTTTCAAGTGAACTAAGAAATACTTTTAAAACATCTCAGTTTTCATTTCTGATATGGTAAATATCAACAGAAATAATCCACAGAAATGAAAGCTCTGGGGGTCTTCAATAATGTTTATGAATGTGAAAGGGTCCTAAGACCCCAAATTTGACAGCACTTACAGCAGGCGCTCAATAAATGTCTGGTGAGTTGGTGAATCAGTGAAGTGATACAAAGAAAACAAGCAAGAATATAAGCCCAGATGTGTGACTGGGGTCAGCTTTTGGGGGCTGCCTCAAGCACTTGGCTGGTACCATTCTTGTCACCATTCTGAGAAGCGAATGAGGATTAAATCCTACTCAGCGTCAGAAAGAAAGGAGGTGTTCACGCGCCCATCAACTGAAACTCGGCGTTAAATGGAAGCAGGAATAACGATTCTTTAAAAATTCTAAATAAAAGAGGACTCACAGAGTAAAGACCCCCTCACCTTGCATTGGTTCCAAATATCGTGCAAAATTTTTAGGAACCACTCCAGGATTTCCTTTAAGTTGCCTGAGGAAATGTGAGTTAGGAATACTTCTACACGGTATGTTTCCAGGGAGGGTCACCAAACACAATACTGGAAAGAAGCCGGCCTGCTAGCATTGACGCAACTCCTTTAGGTGGGATGGGTGTGGGGAGTGGATGGCAGTCGAATACTCAAGCATCTCTGGGGCGACCACAAGGAGAGGGAACAGGAGCGACTCTTCAAAGGACCACTGAGTTACACCGTCCAAAGCACATGGCAAAACTGCTGACTGCTGAGAACCAACAGCAGCCAATGGACTGGTCTGCTGTGCCACAAACAGACACAGGGTGACTCTTTTGAGCAAAGGCACTGGGCCAAATGAGACTGAGCGGCAAAGAGCAGCTGCAGCCCAAATCAAAGGAGAATCTTTAAGATGCATTCTACAAGAGAAGGATTGTCAGTTGTGCTTTGCCTATCTGTTCAGCCACAACTGCCCAGCTATACATCAGGAACCCAATTTTGAAAAATAAAGAAGTACCCTGAGGAAGAAATGGAGAACACAATTGCTCACTAAGCATCTTTTTTTTTTTTTGAGAGTTGCCATCACACTTTATTTATGCCTTTTATGGTTATACCTGTGCAAATTTGATTCTTCCATCTCTAGCGTAAACTTACTGATGGTTACTCACTCACCTCTCAAAGCCCATTGCACAGTGCTAGATACATAGCAGGTGCCCAATAAAATATGCTGAATAAATGAAGTCCAAAATTAGCAAAATGGCTTCATTAGTATTGCAAAACTGTCAAAACACCTGCTGTTATATTCTCATTCATCTATTTGTACATCCAATAAATATTTATTGTGCCTCTATCACCTGCAAGGTAATACAATGATGGTTATGTTAAGGTGAAGTAGACATGAATATTTCGCTCAAAGACTCCAGAGTTAATAATCTTCACTTTTTGCTTTTTTTCTTTTTGACCACATCCTGATCCATCAATATCACTATATTTATGGAAAACGAAGAGAGGGAAAAAGCAGGATCAAATTCACAAAAGATACAAGCAAGGAGAAGAAAATGTTAGGCTTACTTTGCCATAACTCCAAGGATGAAGAGGATGTTTCCCATATAAATAGGTGTTACACAGTTTGACACGCAGTTTGAGTCCATAGCTTGAAGAAACATGGACTTTCTCAGTTGAGAAAAATCTTCCTTTGGTTACAGGAACTCACAATTTCCACGTACCATTCAGGAATGTAAAAAACAATTTTTACGTATGACTGAAGCATTCTGCTGTATATAGAAACTGACAAAACATTGTAAACTGACTATACTTCAATTTAAAAAAGTGGTTAAAATATTTTTTAAAAAAAGAGCAATTTTTAGGTGGTGAGATTAGCTAACATTGGTATATTTAACAGAACAGGGTTGTGGAATTTCCTTTTTAGGGGTTTTTTTTTTTTTTAATATAAGGTTGGTTGTCAATATGAGACAATGGAACTATCTTTCTCACCCTTAGAGATTGATGGATGACTCTTCAGGACCCTTTCAGTCACATGAATTCCAGTGAAAAAGAACGTAAGGGGGTTTGTGAGCAATAAGCCAGTATAATCAGTTTTACTACAAAGCTAAAAGATAATTTACTGATGTCACAATCACCTGAATTTACAGTTATTCTGTCATTTCAACAAAATTATTGAGTACACATTTTTCCAGGCACTTGGGCTAGTGACTGTCACTACATGAAGAGGCAAGATACTTGTCCTCACGGAGCTTACAGAACAGGGAGTGCCATATAAGGGGTTCCAGCATTAGATGATATGTATAATGGTTCTTTTACTTGCTAGAAATAAAACTCAACTCAAACCAACTCAAACCAACCTAAGGAGAAATTCATTGGCTAAGATAACAGAACAGCAATAGAACCTCAAAGAATAACAGGGGACCATTCTCTTGATTTCAGCTTAGCTTCCTTTGGATTGGCTCCATTTTCAGATAATTCCCCCCTTGCAGAAGAAGGGA